CGCGGTTTGTTTTATCCCCAATTGTAACCCATGCTGCCGGTTGACAGCTGAGTGCTGATTAAGGTCTTATTCCATACGGCCACAAGGTGGCGGCAAAGAGAGCGCCAATGGGTTTTTACAGCTGGGGATGGAAGTTTGACAAAGAAGGGTGCATATTGTCAGCAGTTAAAAAACTTACTGCACGTGTTTTTAATTAACTTTGGATATTATATCAACTGACGCTATCAGTCCTGTTTGATGAATTTTGTTCTCAGCATTATGTGTGAATTAAAACCATACAGATTCCCCACATTTTCAGGAAGAATTGTGGCAAAGACTGAATATGAGATTTGTATGCAATTAACAAGTGAGCAGTGGTGGAGACAGAAAGATCTACAGTCACTTTCTTAAAATACTGAGACCGATGGTCCTTCATGCTGCGTCCATGCAAGCAGCACAGAATCGGGAATGATGCTGATTTTGCCCAGAAAAGCTTTAAGGGCTGAGCTGAGCAGAAAACACAATTAAACGAATTAATGGCTGACAGTCCCTCTGTAGATCACATATAATTTGCATCAAGTCCTGTAAGAAACACTTTGTAAAACTTTCGAAATTCAATTAGAGCGCAGAACATGCAACGAAAGTCATGAGTCACATGAACCTTCATGAAGTTGACCTCCAATATGCTTCAGATTTTAACCAAAGTGATCTTAAGTCATAAGCGGACCCCTTACTCATAGGAGGGCCCCTTACTCATAGGTGGGCCCCTTACTCATACGAGGGCCCCTTACTCATAGAAGGGAGCCTTATTCATAGGCGGGCCCTTTTACTCATAGGCGGGCCCCTTACTCATAGGAGGGCGCCTTATTCATAGGCTGGCCCTTTTACTCATAGGAGGGCCCCTTACTCATAGGCAGGCCCCTTACTCATAGGAGGCCCCCTTATTCATAGGCGAGCTCCTTATTCATAGGCGAGCCCCTTACTCATAGGTGGGCCCCTTATTCATAGGCGGGCCCCTTACTCATAGGAGGCCCCCTTATTCATAGGCGAGCTCCTTATTCATAGGCGGGCCCCCTACTCCTAGGCGGGGCCCCCTTT